TTGAAAAACTCCAAATTCGGAAATTTTAAAGACAAAAAAAAAATTTAGTAAACATATTTTTACTGTTTACTATGTTTTGTCACTGAACTTTGAACATGTTCATGAACTTTGAACTGAACCTGAATGAACCTAAACTTTAAGTTCAGGTTCAGTTCAGGTTCATAAATTCAAAGTTCAGTTCAGGTTCAGGTTCAAAGATCTGGAAAATTTGTGGTTCAGGTTCAGGTTCAGTTCAGGTTCATTGAACCTGAACTCGAACTGAACTGAACCTAGGAACCCTATATTTACCTAATGCTTTTCAAATATTTTTAATCACATGTTTCAAATCAGCAAATATTTGGTTTATTATATTTACACTATCTAAGGTTTTATTAGTTTCGAGATCACCATCAACACAAATATCAATTAAAAAATCTCGAACTGTTAATATAGGTGTAATTTGTTGCAGCAAATCTATAAGTATTGAATGTTCCATTTGCTTTGAACTAACATCATAATTTCTATTAAAAACAATTTGTGCTGATTTAGTTTTATTATTTTCAATAGTTCGAGTCTTTTGAATAGTATGTAGTAATACGGGTCAATTCCAAACCCCTGGGTTGACCAGGTTGTCAAAATTACTCAGGCTGGTTGACCGGGCTAACTATTCTACCAAAAAATTTTTTCACCTAAGAAACTATAATTTAATACATTGTGATGAATAAAGAATAATGTTAGACAAATATAATTAATAAATTATAGTAAAAAAAACCAAATGGAATTTATAAAATAGCATAATAAATTAATTAATATCTATTATTTACATCATACATTTTCCTATTTGTTAACCTATTTATTTTTGTTTATCCATCGATTAATTGAAAATTAATTCATTACATTTTACCAATAAATTTTTAAACTTTAATCAATTAAACAACTTACGAACATTTATTTACTAATTCTACCTGATTAAATATACAGTACAGTAATAATTTATAATGAATAAAAAACAATTGTGCTAAAAAAAAATTTCAAATTTACAATATTTTAGGCCATACAAATTTAATTACTTGGTTTTCTTAACATAAACTTTTAAATAGACCCAGCCAGCTGGCTTTTTTTTTTAAATTTCATATATAAAATTTTATAAAATTTATATAATTTTTTTTTTAAATCTACCCGGTTATTAAAATATATAAAAAATTTTTTTTGAAATTTTCAAATTTTGACCTGGCCAGGTTATGAAAACCTATTAATTAATTTTGCATGGCCTTATCTAAAAAAATTGATTTTATCATATGGGCGGAAATCTTTAATTTTGTGATTAGTTTGTAATTATTTAAGATGCAGTGTGATACCTAATATTAAAAGTGATTATTTGTCGGTAATTGTTAAATTGCTTATGAGTTACTTATCAGTTACTTATCAGTTTTTATAAGCAGTATACTGAACAGATTAGCTAAAAATAACTCAGAATGATTCAAAATTGATCCATTACTTATCAAAATTAATTTGTCACTTATCAGTTTTTATGAGTATAATCACCTAATTTTATATAGTCACAGCACTCTACTAAAAATTTTCGCCTATATGTCCACATCACTAAATTTTATCTAACCAATTATTATAAGTTATACAATGAATTCCTATAGGATAAAAAAATTTGACTATATTCCAGCCAGGCTGACCTATAAAGGTACAGGTCGAGGGCTGACCCACCCGCCCGCCTGGCTGATAGGCCATGGTCAGCCTGAATTACTAATAGTATGAAAAGCAATTATAGGTTTATGAAGATATTCTATAAAAAATATGCTTAGTTTTAGTAATAAAAAAAAAAAAATTTTAAATTTTTACCATCGGGTTTAATTTGGCATAAAAATTCACCACTTGCTTGCTTAGCATTTCTTCCATATGCCCAAGAACAATCAAAAGATATAGGTAAAATTTTCTTTTTATGATTTTTTTTAATATAATCTAAACATTTTGTTAGTGCATTTGTTGCTGATTTTTTTGCATATAATACTAAATTATTAAATATTTTACTTTAATATGTATGATAACTTTTTTTGCAAAATTGCGAAGTAACTCCAAGAATAGATAAAACACTTTGTATTGCATAATATGAAATACCACCATCTAAGCCTGCAGTAGCAACAGTATGTAAATATTTTATTCTTTTTTTTTCATTTGTTTGCATTATTGTTGTACCACAATTGTTATATAATTTTGACTTTTAAGTGAAAAACTGAATGTATTTAGATATCAAGATCAGGCAGAAAGTTCTATACTTTTGCAATTTATGCATAGCTGAGATAATATTAAATATTTATATTGGTTAGTATCAATGAGTAAGGTAGATCCTAATTGCATATTTTCGATTTCATTTTTTATAATTTTTTCTAATTCTATTTTTTTAGCTTCATAATTATTTGTTTAGTTTTGAGTATTAGATAATTCTATAATTTTTTGGTTTAATTGTTTAATAGTTCTTTTAGCATTGGTAAGTTCATTTTTAATCT